AGCTGGAAGAATAAATGTGAGAGTCAATTAAATTATAAAACATGAGGTAAAGTTCTCCTTTTAAATTAAATTTGTGCATTTTAAGTGGATTATTTTACTTACATTTCTGCTTTTATTTCTAATTTTGTCAGTTTTGGTCCTCCGTAGTATAACACATGGTGTGAAAGTATATATATGAGCATTTACATACATATACATACAGACTTAATTCATGAGTTATTAAGCATGAACAATGTTTGTTTGAAAGTAATTATCCTTTATGGGCAAAGCATTAATAAATGGGTTCATTCATAAATGCCCTGAACTTTATCAAGTCCCTTTTATTTTATCACTCTACAGCATAAATAGTCCTTTATATCTTATTAAGTAAAAATCACCCTTAATTAATGATGTTTTCAAGGTTGACTAACCATTGATCAAGTAAGGCTAAATAAGGTGTGGTTATTATAAAGTCTTACTGGGAATCTTTGAGAAACATGATTGTTGAAAAGGATGCTCCTGTTTTTATCACATGAAGTCGCTGTATTGTTTTGTCAAATCAGAGATTAAAAAATATATTTTTTCTCCTCCACCAAATAGAGTGTGAGCGCCGAGTATTTGTTAAAAGGACAGTTCATCAGGTCTTATTGTGTCAAAACGCTGAGGGTCGTTGTGAATATTCAGTGTGCTCATTTTTATTTTTTTTATTTTCATTATGGTGGGATGCACTTGAGGATAGCAGAAACAAGAGAACCMAAACAATCTGTTGGAAATTGAAAGGTCATATGATGAAATGCAGCTGACCAATAAGCTTTCAAGGCTTTCTGTTGTCTCCTCATCAGCCCTCATCAGCTGCAGAGGCACTGCTGAGGCTGTGAAGCATCCACAGACACTTCCCCTCCACTACAGATAAACACTTAGTCAGATATACGCTCCCTCCAACACACCAATCTGAGCCTTTTTGGTAATCTGTAGACAAAGTGTACCATTCAGAGGGGCCTATTTGCCTGTCTCTGCCTCTCAGCGCCTGACATTTTCCCCCTTGTCTCTTTATTCATTTTTCAAACAATCAAGAGGGAGTGGAGTGCAAAAAAAGTTGTCATGGTAACAGAAAAGCAGCCTGAATGACCATGGGTGAGACAGACGAGGTGGCGCACAACGCCGTGCAAAAATATTTAAAGATTCAACGCTGAAGCTTCAGGATATTACAGGGAGATTTTCAACAGA